AATTCTATGATAAATCAACCCCAAATGAAATCATGAGAGCTGATAGCTTTAAACAACCCCTTGAAAAGCCTTCAGTTACAAGACTTTTTGAATTTCCAATTATTTGAATCGAAACACCTTTTCCGAAGTATGAGGAGAGGTCTTTTGATATGATAAGCATTTTATATATAAGGGTTTGGGGGAAAGGGAAGGGAAGGTACGTCTCGCTTTTCATCGGGAAATTCTTGGCACTTTTTTGCTCAGTCGACAATTGCAAGAATCCTCGAAATTCGCTCTGGAGAAAAGACCTGTGTTGTGTGTTAACGACACACTTGTGGAACAATTGGATTGTTGAAGGGTTTTGCAAATAGCCAGTGTCAATTCCGGTCTATTTTCTCACTCACACATAGAGTGTATCCGTATCTGATGAGATGCCACGTGAGATGCCTCTCCTCGATGTCCTTTCATCTATTTCCAACACGATGTTGATATCGTTACTCTCCAAACTCAGAGGATGAAAAGAGATGTCTTGGAGATATGTACGAAATGTTTGTTGCTCTAGTGGTGGTGGCTCTTGGACGTACATGCAACGATCCTAGGCCACTATTTGCAAACTATACCTACGTCCACATTTATTCCTTATCACCGAATGATTGTGTCACAGGTTATACATTCCCATTCGGGACGTATTTTCCTGAGATGAAGACGGCGTGAGTCATTGTATTCACGCCGACGATAGATACTGTCGAGGTTAAAGTAGTTATTAATATATATACGGGGTAACTATCTGTTAGATTCAAAGTTATACATCATATCAATCACATTTGAATATTTCGTTAACCATGATGGTCTTTTGGTTGCAGGTTGGTGCAGCAATCTTTGGTTTATATGCAGTATGGAGGATACAGTGGAAGTATTGGACAGCTCGACGAAATGAAACGGTACGGTACCTCTAAAGCTGAAATACGCTTCTCTTCTCACGTTGGTTCTTGTCTGGCGAGGTGTCCTGTTATCCCAAAGTCGTCTGAGCAATTGATAGTTTTAATTGCTCAAGACAACATTCAACACTCACTCGCCCACTTTTCGAGAATATCCCTCCAATATTCATCATCACATAACCTTTTCAAGTGACATTGCCACTTCCTTTACTGCGTGCCTATCTTAAGTTTATAGTCTGACCAATACCAAAAGTCCAATTTCAATGACGAGAAGATATCGACCATTGCCAATTCTCCAAGTATCACTCCTCTATCAGATTTCGACTGGCGTACCACCGAGCCCCTCAAACTGCGACCTTTCAAACCAGTATACCACATGACAATGGGTACAAAACTCCCTCTGAATTCTGCTACCCATTCATTCTGAAGTTCCTGTGCTTACAATACAAAGGTATCCAATCATGTCCTCCATCTGAACTCATAGAAATGGACCGGACATACCTTGATCGCCTCGCTGTCCGCACCAACGTGATAAGAGAACACACCCCTAGAGTACTTCAAGCCCTCCCATCATCCCATGCTGCGATTGAGGAATTTTACACGTACTTAACCGCCAACTACCTCCCTACCCGCTTTCCCACCATCTACTCTCTTCATCCTACATCTCTTTTGAATAAAGCGACAGGTCATCATATTTCTCTCACTCCCCCCTCTCCTATCGAAGCTCTCCGTACCTTAGGCACAAATGTCGACACCGATTTTCTCCTGCTGGTTCCCTCTCCCGACGGCGACGGTTATATCTTAGGAGGATTCATTACATGCTTCCCAGCCGGATTTGATACTCAAACACTGCTCGGTAAGAAAATAAGGGACATTCATAAACCCGTGCCAAAGTACAAGGAGAAGTTGGAGACGAGTATGTATCGAAGTTTCGATCGATTGGAAGTTGGGAAGATTATCAAGAGAGTCAACGTAAGTTTCTCCACCAATTTCGGAGACTACTAGGAGCAGCTTATTAGTAACCAAACGGCACAGTGGTCGATAACTACCCACTCGCGCTTATTTGTACCGAGTGGAAATCATCTTTATGAAGACGAAGAGGCGAAGGAAGAAGAGTTTGATATCAAAGATGTAAGCTCTACTTGTTTTTGTCATATCATTTCTTCTTCCACAAGACTGAACGTTTTTAGGTAAACCTCCGCTGTGAACGTCAACTAGTACATCGTCTTCCAAAAACTAAAGCCTTGGTGTTCTCGTTCAAAACTTATCTTACTCCAATTACCCAAATCAAAGAAGAAGGCTTGGGAGAGGAGCTGGCAGAGGCAATTGATGGTTTGAAGAAGGGAAATGTACCGGAGATACACTATTACAAGAAAGGTGTCGTTTGGGGGGAGAAAGTCAAGGAGTATCTGAGAAGTTAGGAACTATGAGACACGAGAAAATGAAACGATTAGTCTCACCTCATATTGAGGTATTATGATCTGATGGATACGTTTGGCATGATTACTGGCGAGAGTGGAGAGTCGTGGTGGTGAATCGTTCTAGATCATGACTGTTGAAAGTGTCTGAACCAAGTTCCACTTTCAACCTTTCTTTAATGACCGAAAAATTAACATGTTCCCTCGAGATCATGTTCATTGTCAATTGTTGATTCAGAACTTCAGAATCTATAATTCAAGTATGGACAATCTCAGGGTCATTTGTTGATTTTAAGTATTTGTTTCATTTTTTCATTTTTTCGAAAAGTGTGCCACGAATCTCCACTCTCACCAGTAATCATGGCAAAGGCATATCTCTCACTCTCAGATGTTTTCCCGAATCACCAATCGAATTCCGGGCAATCAATCCAGCTTTGCCATTGAAATCTGAAAGAGTTCGAACCAGATCGGGGTGGGGGAAGGAGAGTATGAGAACCTTGGTCTTGAGCAATATACCAGTTCATGACGACTTAAGGCGGACGACATAGCATAGTGCAACACACAGTTGCCTATTGAAAGACATACAGAAAGGTAGCATCAGGGAACAGGCTATCTGGTAGGGTGAGGGGAATGCACATGGTTATGTCACCTTCACGCATCAAAGCAAATTAGACATGAATTCAGTTCATATTGAATTGTTGATTTAAGCTATTTGAATTCGAGATATCTATGAAGGTGAAAGTAAATCAAAGTATGCTGACACATTGTCATCAACACCAATCGAGTAAAGGTGATAGAATGCCTTCTAAAGAACAGGATGGTGCGCTGATATACAATATACAAATAGTTACGGACCATTTGTATACTCACACATCAGGTCGTTGATGTTGTCTGTAAAATTAAAAAAATGATATGATTTAAAAGAATGTAGCCTCAGCTGATTCCCAACCTTTCAGAAAAGTCTAAACGACATCTCAAAGTCAGGCGCCCAGCAACGGGTTATAAGTATTCTTCGCACAGCGCGAAAACATCTCGTTTTATTGAAGAAATCGAGTGCCGTTAAGTAATGTTTTAGAAGCTGGCGTGGTTTTGCAAGGGAAGGGAAGAAGGGAAACGATGGATGAGACGGGAAGAAAAGTAAAGAAATCCATGCCGGATCAGGAAGCAGTATTTACCGTATAGCTGCTATGCACATACCTATTCTCTACCTATAACACCTTTGTATATGTATTTGTTTCGTATTGGCGGAACTGAGCAGAGGCAGACAATCTTTGATTGTGTTCGTCGAAGGAAGTTTGCACATTGATTTGCGAGTTATGAATAGCTCATTGTCTATGATTAAATAGAACGCAAGAGTATGATGCGTGCTCTGGATCAAAGGATTATGCTCGAGATATTTCAAGGTTGAATAGAAATGCTACCAAGAAGGTTGGTGGTTGTTGTTGTTGTTGTTGTTGTTGTGGTACAAAAGGATTTGGAAAAGAAAAAAATCTGCATCAACTCATAGCTCTTCACTAGCGTCTGCGGTAACCGAGGAGCTATGACCACCAAGAAACCCTTCTCTTCCCTTCCAATTTCAATAATGAGACGATTAAACTTGCATTTGTATTGAGAATCTGAGATACTTGTCATTGGCTCGAGATTGGATCCTTTCAAGAGAGCCTCTTATTCAACTGCGAAAATTGCCAAGAATCCCGATCATATGGACTTCTTTCATTCAATTGTGGGACGTACCTGAAATGCTGCAGGCTTTGATCGCATATGCCGTAGTACCATTCAGTCGTATGTGTAGTAGTCCATTATTACGGTATCAAAGCGTTATGTAGCTCGGCCACCAACAGTATCATCTCTCCTCTCTCCTTGATCTTGCAAGGTGACGACGACCATGTGCCATGTGAGGAAGGCGTGAGGCAATATCTCTCTGCAGAGGAATATAATTTCTTCTAGAAGCCACACTGGACTTTCCAATTGAAAGGGAGAATGGCGCCATATTGCCCCCGTGAGTCTCATGCATTTTCCATTACGTTTTGATTCCTCTACCCGGAGCCCAAAAGCCTCGAGATTTCGCTCAGCTTTTGCCTGTCATTTGAGTATTACGACTCGTTCGGTTGGCTCTGAATGTCTGAACATCTGAATGGAATTCAACGAATTCAATGATTGGATGGGCGTTTCGAAACATGGAGCGCATAGCAGCATTAAATACATACATAGTACCACATGATCTGAAAGATTAAGGAGAATTTATTGTATTACCTGGCTTGGGAAATTAAGGCTAAGACTGTATTTAGTAAATTTCATCCTTTTTCATTCTCATTTTGTGATGTTGCAGGACATAGTACACCTCGTTGTGCTTGTTGCATGTGGATCGAACGTATAAATATATACTTCCCCGCATTATCAGATTCGGTTTCCTCTCTCTTTTGAAAGTTTTCACCAGTTGCGAATTCAGATTCTAAACAATTGTGTATCATCACGCAATAAGGTGTAATTCACTCATTCCTGGCGCAGTTAGCTCAGGTTAAAACAAAGAAATTTTGCGGCTATATTTTCAGTAGCTTCTGACAACCACATAAATTACTCTCCTTTGATCCGAGTCCACCTCAAACAAGCAAATTCTCAAGTACTGAATTTAATTCATATCTCGAGGCATCCTTAATCATTTAAAATGGCCGCTCTACCTCAATACCTTGCTGAGGAAGAGCTTCGTCGTGCTTCGTCATCCTCTATCCGGTCGGCCAACCTCTCTCACGGCCGTGGCGGCGCTGGTAAGCTCTTTTCCATTTACTTTGGTTTGCTTTAAGGCTTTGTTTTATTAACCTGTCTTTCTAGGTAATATTGGCACTTCTCCTCATGATGACGAGCCTCTCACCCTCAACACACCTACCATCAAAAGCGACATATACACCACCGGTCGCGGAGGAAGTGGAAATATGGCGAAGAACACAGACCCCGAATCGGCCAGACGGGTAAGTTTTCAACCTACTTGATCGAAATATGTGAATTTATTGCTAACACAAGGTAGGCGCAAGATGTCGTTGGGTAGGTAGAGTTACAAAGCTCGAATCAATTTCAAGCAATGCTTAATTCTAACCTAAATACTTTAGTAATCCAAGAAGGGAATCTTCTTCATCGAGTCACGTCGGTCGGGGCGGGGCGGCAAACGTTTTCAAACCAAGCGAGGCCGAGATCGTCGCAGCGCGCAAGGATACCAAATGGGATAATGCAATCTCAGACGAAGATGAGCTGGATTACAGCAAGCAGGATAACAAGCTCGAGCCCCAGAAAGGTCTAGCAGACAAGGGAAAGGCATGGTTGAAGGAAAGGATGGGTAAGGCTTAAGCAATTTTATGGAGTCTTAGGTATGGGATGGAATGATACCAGGCGTTGATGGATTTGATCAAGTTTTGGAGATATGAGTTGCCCCTCACCCATAGTTGATATTGCACAGTTTGAGCATCGTCATGTGGCAGAGAACTGCGGCCTTGCTTTACCATCACAAGGTTTCCGGAGTCAACGGTTATACGCGGCTTCTAATATGATTGCAATAAACACATGGGCCCTCTGACCAATCGATACGTTGATGCCGGTACTTGTCATATTTGTTCCTTGACTATTGTGAAGATTAGCCACATCGAGGACTTGTGTGTACGGCAAATGTTATATTGTGTTGGTGGCTTTTTGGGGGCTATGCAAGAACATGCATTCTCACAACATCACCTATCTCACTTGCGCAATCATTATTACATGCTTCTTTGATGGAAAATGACAGTGAGTTCTTTGATGGTACTTGTTAGGCAGTCTCAGTCGCGCGGCACAGTTGAGACTATTGCCATGGCTCGAGCATGGTCATACTTCTTGACTGGTAACATATTCGATCATTGGCATCAATATCTTACAAAATCGTTTTGAATGTGCGTCTGCGGCAAAGAATGAATAGCTTCTCGCCCAGCATTCAAACGATTACCCACGAGCACACAATATAAGAAGTAAATTGAATACCTGTCATATATTAAATCCCGTTCAAACTTACACCCGAACCGAAACTTATATTGTATTCGACAATGTATACAGTCATTTAGGCTTAAAGTCTACGCACCGTTTTCAATATCCCTATACAAATCTGAGAATCAAATGATCTCTTGTGTTTTAATGTACAGATTAATCTTGCAAGTATCGTGCTAGGCACTGCGAGGCACAGCAGAAAATCATTGTGATATGTAATGTACATGTTGTTTTAGAGCCCTTGCATCTGAGAGAGTAGTTTTAAAGGGGGGGATCCGGTTCTCTCTCTTGCAAGGGCCTCAGAATTTCCTGATAGCATGCTGTTGATATAATATACAGAATAATGTGATTGTATAATGTCTATATTATCTATGGGATAATGTGACTGTTTGATATGAATACAACGAATGAAATAATGTGATTGCATAATACCAATACAATCTATGGAGCAATATGGTTGCGTACTAGGTGCCGATTACAACACACAGAACTATTTTTATATCCCTACAGCTATGGGTTATGATTTTCACAGCATGCAAAAACCTTGTCATAGTGATTCAATTTTCTCGTAGACTCTACAATAAAACACTATGAATGATAATGCGGCGATGGAATCACCAGAAGTATCCAACACTTACCCCCATCCTAGAAAGTTTTCACTCGCGATGCGTAATTTTAGATTCCCTACTAGTACATACATACATACCTCCTTCCTGAAAAGCATCGTTGTGAGATTGATACACATGTAAAATCTTTTAGTTGCAGATAGTTGATACCCAGTAAGCACGATGCGACGCTCTACTTATCCCGGCACCCTTCCCTCGGATACGTACCGATGCCTCGGGGTTGGCAAGCTCATAATATGTAAAGATTACATGATCGATGCATGCATCGATATGTACTCTATAGAGAAATAGTAAGCATATACTTATGTAAATTTGTTTCTACTCAGATGAGGTAGAAAGGGGAAATAAAATGATATGCAGCTTATGAAACTGTGATACCGGGTCGTGGCAAGGAGGCACATGAAAGGACCATGATGTCCGTACATGGAAACATAAGACCACTTTTTGAGTGGAGGTCCTCGGGGTAACACGGCAGCCGTTGGAGATGAGGGGAAATACCACCTGGAAATAAAGTTGTTGGGTTGTACGGGGTAGACGGTGGGATGGGGGGATGGAGGGGGCAAAGGTGTGATTTCATTGGATGCCATGATGAAGGAGATAAAGTCCGGATCAATTAGAATGTAAGGACGACTCATTGTGTCTAGGTAGGTAGATACTGTATCAAGTGACAGTTTGAATGATCGTTCAAATCATCTGAAGTTGGAGTGAACAGAAAAAAAAATCAAGATCTACGAAGTAGATGACGGGATGAGAAACTAAATGCTGTAAAAGTATCTTAGCGATGTTCCTACACACCCCTGAATTGCTAATTTTCGGATTTCTGCAGCATCTCCGAAGAACTACCTAGTCTAATTTGAGCGGATGTGCTTCCGTTTGTTTATTAATTTGCCGCATTTATTCCTTCAAGTGGTCAAAAACCACAAAACGAGATATAAATCCATAAGTAACGTCACATATTCCTGTCAGCTAATCCGATAAACCCCACAGTGACTTACTCAGTTGCGGACACTTGGGCCAGCTCTAGGCTTTGCTTTAGCTTGTCAGTGCTTGTCCACTTGTATTGATAGGTACTCTCGTACTGACTTCCCAGCTTCCGTCCCATCATATCCTTGATATCCTTGACCTTGTCTTCACTCAAGTCAAGACCCAAGTCTCAAGGTTTCCAATCCTGGGTTGGCCGAAAAGCATTACCCGGCTGCCCGCAATATGCCAATAAGAAGCCCCAGGAGGACGCCATTCACATTTATGATCTAACCAAACAGGATGATGTAAGGCACCTTGTCATTTAACCTCGTCGTGCCACTCTAGTGAGACCTAGTATCTATTACTAAACCCTGATCCTGATGCTTGCATCTACGGTACTTTACCAAACCAACGGTAAACATCTTCCTGGCACCTTCGTTATCCATACCAATCGGACTCTCCTATTCTTGTTAGCATATCATCATCCTTGATGGTTGAGCATGGGGTAGAAAGAATTGTATGCCGAGCTCATTAAGGTCTGATCACAAACGATCTTCGAGGGTAAACGCGATCTGGATTTTGAAGAGATAGAAGATTGAAGTGGGAGGCACTGGGAGCTTATTTAGCTGTATCTTTGGTTAAAAATACATCTCTGTCAATTCCGCGCATTGAAGTCGACGGCTCTATCCACATTACTTCGTATACAATACTACATCGTCCTTAACGGTACGGTACTTGGTGAGATCCAGGTGGAAGCGAGCAGGAACCAAGCAGGAGAGGCATCTAGGTATGGCACATACGATAGTCAAGCAATAAATAATCCAGTGATACGAGAGATCTTTAAAAATGATTCACGAATGATTTTTGGGGAGAGGCTTATTAGTACCTATCATTTCTCAGCATGGCGTATTATTGTATGCAACCTAAACTCCTGCCGCTTCACTGCCGCAGCACATCTCTCTTTTAAGACGGCCCAGCTGCTCCCAGATTCCCAATTCCCACACTGTCAAACGCTCGTGCATATGCTGGGTGGCACACTTTCTATATCTTGCTACCTCCTACGATCACCCGAATAGATCTGTCAATGAATTCCAACTTTTAGGAATTCATGCTTAAGGATGCCAAGCATGCATGTACGCCGCCGCAGAGACAAGCGATACTTGCTTTTACCAGACGAGTTTCATTGGGGTAATTCGGATTAAAATTTGTGACGACTGCACTGTAACACAACTCATGATCAACCCAGCGATTTGGGCTTTGGTGCCTTTTGGGTTCCCATCGGATTTTCCTCCTTTAAAAACTGCTGGGGTGGGAGGGAATAGGATGATATGACATGATAATGTAAAGTAACGAGAACCCAATGATATCGATACTTTCAGCCATACGATGTTAACGTTAGGGTCGTGAGAGGACCATCAGATCATATTATATTACTGGGTCATATCGGTCAATTGCATCCGTATGGATTTTTATATCAAACATGATAGAATGAGCATTGTGAATTCTACACATTATCTTGCATGGAAAACTTCAGATTACATAGGAATTCAATTATATGATACTTATGTGATTGTTGAGGGGAAAGTCATGTTAGATTAGATGATGCTATATGATTGGTTATAATGTAACTATCAAATCGAATTTACAATCTTAGTTACTGTATCTTGACAGCTGAAATGTAGAGTTCTAATCTTGATGGGTTTCCATTCACCTCTAATCAGATTTGTATGAATATCCACGATGTGTTGTATAAGAATTGCTTAAAACATTCCTCGTTAAGTACCTAGTCTAGTCCCCTGAATCGATGCTTCATCAGTGCCTACGTACACCTAAGGGAGTTCAGTGATTTTTGTGCTGTCAGATGATTAAGAAATACGAAATACGAAATACGAAAGCCAGAAGTACTTGATCAATCTATATTTTGAGCCAATTAACTATTTGGGTGCTGTGTAGGTAGGTAGAGATGTATACCCAGGTACCTAGTTAAGCCCTATAAATAACAGTAATTAACTCAAATAGACACCGCTGTAAGTTTTGAGAGCAGTAACTTAGGTTCCGGGAGATCAACGAGTGACAAAACTCAAATTGAATATCTAGTTTCCTGTACTCGTATGCAGTAAGAATGAAGAGGCTTGAATAAGAATTTCCAGAATCGAGATGCGATTGTGCATTTCCATTCCAAGCTTTTCTACCCGCTGTCAAATTCGAGCACCAAATCGAGCATGACCTACGATAGTAGTTCTAGATTAACTAGCTCGTAAGGCAGTGGATAGTGGGCATTGAGTAGTGGGTAGTGGGTAGTGGGTAGTAAGTAGTAAGTGGCGGGCACTCACCTCACTCTATCAGACCTAATTGCCCCTTCATCTGCCGAAAGCCCCTCAAAGACCCCCAAGCAAGTTTTAAGACACGACAGAAAAATTGTTGACATCGTGTACTAGGTATCTGATGCCATCCACCTATTACGGCATTATCACATTATCCCATCCGTTTGACAAACTCTAAAGATTCTGGAAAGGGTAGAAGAGAAATTGAGAAGGAGACAGGAACAAGGGCATTTCTGCGGAAGATGTCTGGTTGTGTGTACTCTTGGAATTCTCTCACCCAACATTCGTCTGGGAGCTACCATACGATAAAGCTGTGTAGACTCCTTTCCGTCCCAAGAGGCATTTGTCCTCTGTGAAGAAGAGATTCTGAAGACTTTGAAGAAGGAAGGGAGATCTCCGACCATCTATCTATCTATCTATCTATCTACACCTTGTCCAGGCTCTACTTCTGCCAATCCCTCCACCTGCCCATCCCACACCATCTAGGCCATTTCAGTTCCCAGTGCCAGTGCCAGTGCCAGCGCCCACCCACATACCTCCCTCCGTATATAGTACTTACATACATACCTACATCCATCCATTTTAGCGTGCAACGCTGCACTGAGCTAGGAGGCGTCCCATCGTGGTTCCGCGCTTTTAAGATTATCCTTTGGCAACCAGGATCATCTTCAAGGTTATTCCTTTTAACCAAAAACCTTCCGACGGACTTTTCGCTACCGAATTATTTGAAGCTACATCCATTGTTATCACCATCTTATAGAAGTACATATCTAAACCGTTTACCTCATCCATCATTCATATCTTCATATATACATGCACATCTGTACCGTCACATACCCATTCCCGCTCTTCACGTCTATACCGCTCCATAAAGAATTCGGGACACGCAAATATTGAGAAAGAAGGATTAATTAAGGGCTAGGCTGTCATTGACGACGGCCAAATAAAAATTATATCTTAATCATGAATACTACAGCATATGCTTCACCACCTCGCGATATGCATCCTCGATCAACCATGCCAAGTCTTCACGATACAACATATCGACCTGGTCCACCTCATCAGGGAGCTCCATACTCGATGCCACAAACAATGGCATCTCAACATTCAACCATTTCAGCCTACGAGCAATACAACAATTCTCTGCCTGTGTCTCGTCCTCCTCCTCCAGAACATTTGCCATCCTCAGAGGCTGTGTCGTCATTTTCTATTGGGCTTCCAGGTCAAGAACCATCACCTCGGTCTATTACCGTAGATGGGAGAAAATATACGTATGTTTTGATTTTGGATCGAATTCTCCCCCTCATTTTGGTCAGGGGTGGCATATTAAGCTTCGATTGTGTTATCGGGGCGAGCGTCGCTGATTGATTTTCTAGTTTGGAAGTTCAACAACAACCGAAACGAGCTCGAATGTGTGGATTTGGAGACAAGGTAAGAATCAAAGAATTTAATGAGAATTTATCCTCCCATGTGGTCTCGTTCTCGATCATAATTGACCATATTTAGGATCGTCGGCCTATCACTCCTCCTCCATGCGTCAAGCTTAGTATAACAGAGATTGCCACTGGGAAAGAGGTAGACGTCAAGTGAGTTCCAACACCATACATCTATGCAACCATTCTAATGTCTAAATAGCAACATCGAACATGGAATGTTTGTGCTTAACGTAGACTTATGGTCAGCGGATGGCGATCGACCAGTCAATCTTGTCCGCCACTCGCAAACTTCTCCATCGATCTCAGCCACAGTTCCAGTATCTTATACACAAATACAAGGAGGTGCAGCTGCATACTCGAGCCTACTTCCCGGACAAAGTCAACGAGAACCCACCAGCCCAACATATGGTATTGCGCCACCTTACCAGGAAGCTGGTTTCAGTCCGTTTCCAGGCCCTCCACAAGTGAGCGCATACTCGCAGCAACAACCCGGACAACAGTCGGGTTACGGTGGAAATCCCAACTACCCACCCCCAAATGGATACCAGGTACCACCTCAACAGTCAAACTATTATTATCCTCAGCGTATGAACCCTTACTGAATTTGATGACCACGAATGTAAAATAATGTGCTGATCAACTTTTCATAGCATCTCAATCCGTCCAAAGCCACAATAATCAAGATCCTTACCCCTCTCGTCCTTTCACCCCACAAGATCTCGGATTAGGTCGCATACCCATAAGCCAGACAAATCCCCCACAGGGAATGTTCACACGAAATCTTATTGGCAGTTTGTCGGCTTCTGCATTTCGTCTTACAGACCCGGATGACCGAATCGGGATCTGGTTTGTGCTTCAAGACCTTTCCGTCCGAACCGAAGGTGATTTCCGGTAAGCTATCAATCTACCTAGTCATTCCTTAGTACGTCCTGTACTAATATTAAAGCAGCCTTCGATTTTCATTCGTCAATGTTGGTGTTCCTACAGCACCACAAAATAACGCCAACTCATCGTGTTCCGTTAACACTGGAAAGGCCCCTGTTCTTGCCTCATGTTTCTCGGAGGTGTTTAAAGTTTACTCCGCAAAGAAATTCCCTGGTGTGGTAGAAAGTACAGCATTAAGTAAATGCTTTGCTACACAAGGTACGACCATACCCCTCTTTCTGACAGCTCGAAGTACTGATTCTAATGACACTAAAAGGTATCAAAATTCCAATCCGAAAGGATGGAAAGGATGGACCAGGAAAAGGAGGAAAAGACGGTAGCCGAGGCGATGACGACGATGACTATTAGAAGTCAATCTCCGCCTGGTCTTACGCCTTCTCGACAGGATCTCTCTTCAAAAACTACGCGCATATACCACAGCATTTCCTGAAGCCAATCGAAGCACCATGCACTATTTATTCCCAAATTTTTACCATTATTACGGCTCTGTTTGTTCGAATTTAGGTTTCCCAGCGCGTGTTTGTTCTTAATCTAATTTGTAGAACATGAGCTGAGATCAGAAGAGAGGAGGAGGACAAAAAGAGATCACAATCAGGCGTTACGTTTTATGGCAGACATACATGTCCGTTTTCCGTATTGTGTTGTGTTTTTCTACTTGAAAAGACTCGAATTGGCTTGGATACAGGGACGGAGTACGGCGTGGCGATACAGGCATGGGTTTTGTTTGAATTTTGGTCGATTTATAGCTGGAATCCAATTTGTCCAAGCTTCGCAGAGAAGTGAAGGAGTCATTATACCTACGGCTCAGTAGGTAAATCTTGATGTATAGAACAGCCGTTATGGTATATTACATATTCACTTCTCACAATTCCAGACATATCTATGCATAGCTAGGTACCCCGGGCCTACTTATGCAACTGACGATTACTTCCGAAGTCTTGAAGTTCTCAAAGGTCACGATGTTAGATTTAATAGTTTTTTGTAGCTATCCTCTAACCCGATCAGGGCGATGCGATAATGTGGTAATAGCTCTTTGTTGAATTTCTCCTGTCGTCCTTTGAGCTAGCGACACGGGGGGTTACGAGGGAGAGGGGAGAAATCGATCTATTGACTAACTGGCTATCGTCTGATATCACTAGCTTAAACAAGTTTAATGCTATCGTAAACCCTCAAAGGAACATCCACACAAGTCAACGTGTATATAAAGCATGAGCAATAATAAAGTGCAGGGGAGAATGGAAGCTAACGCGATGCTCAGGCGCCAGACGAGGAACGTTGATTCTTCCGGATAGGTGTTGGAGATTGTTCACAGATCCAGGAGCTCATAGTCGGCGAGTTTGACGATCATAGTATGAGTGATATATATGTTGGTTGGGATTTCAATTTTCGCAACCTTTTCTAGAAATAGCCAGCTATATCCTACATTCAATTGATTCATGCGCTCAATCTCTCCTGGTATCATGTCAAGTATCTGTAGATACATGCTCCTATTCACCGAGGGATCCGGACTTCACTACAGCACGTCCATTTATATTAAATAGTATAATCGACTCCAGTCTAGCTCTCCGAATGCATGAAAGTCCCACATCTTAATCACTATAGTCATCCTCATCCCTATAATCGCCTAACAGAACATCGTCCACTCCTGGGCCACCTAGCAATCCATTTGCATTGCCCTTTTCCTTTTCTCGTCCCCATTCTGTCTCTACTCTCAGGAATATCCACATCCATCTCCTAACGACTTCCAATACCTCTAATAAGAAAATACCGCTTTCAAAATCGGCAAAGTGGTCAAGATGAGGAGAGAGTTTGAGAGACCATGTGAAACGGAGGAGGAAATCAAAAAGGATAGCGATGTAGTAGAGCTCCTGTGTAGGGAGATATAGGCGAGGTCGAAGAGGGTAAGAGGCTGTGTTTTTTGATGACGGAATCAGGAGAGTGAGGTCCCAGTCTTTAGTCACATCCCAGTAGAAAGAGTATAGAGAGTTGATGAGTACGCTTAGTAGCCAGAATCGATAGAGTGTTGTTGTGGTGATGTTTATCGAGGTTTCATTTACGGAGAGGTTTCGCTGCATAGCGGAGAATATTATCACAGGGAACGCCGTGGAATACTTGAGCGCATTGGCTAAATGTTGACCACCCCATCCAGAAGTCGATGAACGTGAATTCTTAACTCGTAGGTATTCAATTATGCATTGCCGGAAACGAATGAGTGAGGGTATCGCGATCATAATAGGGACGAGATATTGTCCGCCGCAACCGCGATCAGGCCGAGAAGTTGCGCTGCCAGAAGGGGTGAAGAACATGCAAAAAGAGACGAAAAGGTCGGCTATAATTTTCGCATAGGAGGTGAGAACATCAGCCAGGAGAATGTCGCCAAATTTGCCTTCATTGGGAAGAGCGAGACCGCCAATTGAAACACGCTTGAGGGCGGAGAGAAAATGAAGACGACCAGAGTAAGATGCGCGGCGTAAGGGAACCAGAAATGCGAGGAAGAGAAGACAAATGTAAGTTATCGGAAGAAAGTCATAGTAGATTACTAGAGCTGGGTCGCGGTGGGAAAGTGCCCAGAAAAGGAGGATTGAGAGGACAAGAGGGATTGTGAGATAAGTAGCAAGTCGATACGCAGACAGATGATGCGGAGGATCAGTCCGTGGAGAAGCTCGTTGTGGGTATTGGATGAGTGAGGGAACATTCTGCGAGGCACTTGGGTTAGAGTGTTCTGGGAGTTCGAGTGAAATGATGATTTACAATTTTAACAATTGAAAGATAATGAAGATTTGCGCCCCAAGCCCAGACTCCTATTGAATGTAAGTAAATGGGCTTCAGAGATATACTCAGTAGGGACCTACATACCTAATACGATGATCAATGCAACTCTATATGGTAAGGGAAGAGTGCGACTGAAAGAGTCGAGCTCATTCTCAACAGCAGGGTCTCCATCCATTCTACCGCCTATTACAATACCACATCTGCCGCACTAAAGCTGATAATGAATGACTGAAGTGAGATGTAAAGAATTGAATTGGGTATAAGTGCAAACGACAACAATACTGGGTAACTTGATAGAAAGGGAGACGTTTTCATATGAATATCCCAAATTAATCTGATACGCAAGGAAGCCACATGGAAATTAGATAACAGTAGCCTCGAGCTATCTTAGCCACATTGTGGCACAAGGCTGATGGAATGGCGGAAAGCTCGACCTCGGCTCTAAGCTCTTGATTCATTGACACATTCCTCACGCAACTTTCGTGAAACCTACCAACTTCAACTTTATAATAATATTTCTCTACAAAATCTAATACATATAATGACAGATCATGTATCTGAGATATCACCCTCGGATGTCAAGGGCCCATCCTATCAGTACCCCTTCGCAGCAGCACCAGACATAATTCGATCACATCAAAAAGATGCATATTTTGAAGGAGTTCTCCTGAATCATCTTTCAAATCTCCTGCGCCGGTTGTATGGAGCAAGATTTCTTCACACTTATACCAATGAAGCGCGAACATTCTCAGAATTACTCTATCTTGGTCTCACGACCTTCATTGGCAACCGGACGTTAGGAGAAGAGTACTGTGACATTGTTCAGATTGAAGACGATACTCTAAGACTTCCCGACATTTCTCGACGCGCAGGCTATATTTTGAGTTCAATACTTCTTCCATATTCTCTTACCAAGATCCTTCCATCATTTCGCACTCGCATCCGTAATAAGCTCGAAGCCAATCTCCGCAAGCTTACCCGAAAAGCACAAGAAAAGTCATACTCCTACAAATTTCAACAATATATTCTAACCCATCTCTCAACAATCACGTCACCCTCACCCGTTCATGCCCTTACTCTCACCGTCTTTTATTTCTCGGGATCTTATTACCAACTGTCAAAACGCCTGTTGGGACTACGTTATATCTTTACAAAGCGCATTGCTCCATCGGAGCAACGTGTAGGATATGAAGTCTTGGGTGTACTTCTCCTCCTTCAAATGAGCGTGCAAACCTACCTCCACCTGAATAATACCTTCTCCGCTGATGTTCCTTCCACTGCACCTGGAAGTTCCGCCGTTCTATCTAATGGCGTGGAAATCTCCCTTGATTCCCCATCTTCTCCTAGCGATCTCCTCGCTTCATCCTCAGCTATACCCCATTCCTCCAGTTCTATTGGCAAAACCACAAATACACCTGTGCTAACAGGTGCACGCTATGATCTGAGTGACAACAAAATCATGGGATGGATAAAGGGGGAGCAAAACAGAAAATGTACCTTGTGTTTGGAGGAACTGAAGGATCCGAGTGTGTTGGGATGTGGACATGTGTTTTGTTGGAGCTGCATTGGAGATTGGGTTAGGGAAAAACCAGAATGTCCTCTATGTAGAAGAGAGGTTTTGATTCAACACATCCTCCCATTGAGAGGATGAAGGGGCGAGCAAATGGAATAGGAGTTCAAGCGAAATCCCGACACAGACATGATGTTATGAATAATTTGAGATGGATGCATACATGCATTATATAATTTAATATTGAGGTTATCTATCGGAGTAAGATGTTTAGTTCAATCCTTCAAATGGCCCATAATTAGATGCAGGTTTCTAAGAGTTCGGACTGCGGTCCAATTTCCAAAGTTTTCAAAGTTCCAAATCTGCAAATCGTTGGATAAAAAATTCATTTACTGTATAAAGTATATCAACTTCCTATATTATCTCGATCCTTGTTTCTGTCAAAATTAAAAGGTCCTCGTTTACTGCCTGTAAGAGCGAATACATTAGCCGAAGCGTGCTCCCGGCAAAAATCAAGTATTGGAAGCAAACAGAAGCTGTACATGAAGGGGGTGATCATGAATAAGTCGTTTGCAGGTGTCGGAATTTGACAGGATACCAAGACGTGGAGATGCATCAACCCGAAGTTTCACAGCCACCTTGAAAAGAAAAATAGATACAATCACCAAGCATCATGCATAACATGTATGCGAGCTGGCTACAGGCAGGCTAGGCTTCGATCAGCAACAGGTGAAAAGAAAGTTGATGGGAATCAGAAGATAGGGGAGGATCCAGGGTAGTCCAAGAACGACGATTATCAAATCCCCAAACCAATTAAAACATTCAAATCATTTGAGATATTGGATTTGATTGGAACATTGAACTTTTTTCAAGTTTCGAATTGCTTTTAGATGTTCAAAGGCTTATATTTTGGAGCTGCAGTTTGTATTATCGGATACCCTGGGAGGACCAGCGTTTGCATCTGATGGACTTGTTTCTTTTATTGAGAGATATAAATCCCTCTCATTTATACTTGCTTGGTATCCATCAACTCCTCAACTCACAGCCGAAGTCTAACGGTTAAGCATACCCACCAAAATGGACATTGACAATGTGTCAGAGGTTTCTCAGTATGTGCAGATACTAGATCGACAGCGGATGGCTTTGAAAGCCGCCATGCGTCGTCAAGGGCAGCACCCCAAAGACATGAAATCTCGAGTGGAACTCATCAGGGACTTCATGATGAATGCTTTATCGCAGCAAGTGTACTGGCTTCTAAGACAAAACAGCATGCAGTTGCATACCTCCTTTGTTGCCAATACATATGCGCCATCTACCACGCCTCTTAACAAGTTGAAGCCAATAAAAATCAAAGACCTGAGACTGGAAACTCATCACCGCGGTAGCTATCTTCTCGTCCGGGCATCAACACCTCCCACCAGAATGACAGCGATCATGGCTATTGTTGAGGACGAAAACGAAGATGCTGTACAGCTGCAACTCTATCAACAGCCGGACGAGAAGGTTCGCCCAGCTACAAGTGTCATTATGAAGGATGATGCTTTCTTGATAAAGGAGCCGTATTTCAAAACTACAAGTGATGGCGGTTATGGTCTTCGAGTCGATCATGTGAGCGATATAACCTACCTCGATGCACATCATAATCTGTTGCCAGAGAAGTGGAAGCCTACGGTTATCGACATCAGTAAGACTGCAGAGGACTGGAAGCAAGAAGGTAATGAGGCGATGGAGAAGAAACAGTATTGGGAGGCCATTCAGAAGTATGACACAGACTCGCGTATTACACGTGGAGATGCCTTTCGCTAACCCTTACTACCATAGTTATACAGCGGCTCTCAAGTGCAGTCCTTCCGCCCATCTTGCAGAGATAATCCGTCTCAATCGCGCATTGGCATACCTCAAGGATGGAAACTTTGATGCTGCATTGATTGACACGGGATGCATGGTCTCCCTTATAGACGCACCAGAAAAAGCACTGTACCGAGCAGGACAAGCTTTATATGGGCTCGAAAGATTCTCTGAATGCCATGATATTTTCGAACATCTCTGCGCAAAGTGTCCCAATAATTCTGCTGCTACCGCAGGGCTCAAGCGGGTTTGTCGCCGTGTGAAAGAGCAGGAAAGTGGAATGTACGACTTTAGGTCAATCTACAAGGAGCTTTCAACAACTAGACCTCCGCATTTAGACCACGCAACATACGTTGGACCGGTCGTCGTCAAGTCTTCCCCGGACCGTGGACAAGGATTGTTTACTACTAGAGCCGTGAAGGCAGGAGAACTACTCCTGTGTGAGAAGGCGTTTGCTCATTGTTATGCTGGAGTGTCAAAAGACTCGGATATCCATGCAAAAACTACCCTTCTGATCAATGTCCATACGAATCGAATGATAGTCGGGACGCAGGGAGATCTCATAACGGCCATCGTACAAAGGCTCTGGAAGAATCCATCCCTTATTCCCGAATTTACTGCGCTTCATCGTGGATCTTATAAGCTTGCGAAAGAAACAGAGGTTGATGGGAAACCAGTCATTGATACGTACGTTGCCATCCTGAAATAATTTCTCTGATACTAATGCTTTCTTTCATCCACAGCTTCCTTGTTGAACAAATCATGGCTCTCAATGTCTTTGGCTGCCCTCTCTCTACCTTTGAGAGCCAATCATCAGAGCCCGAAGAGGATGACAAGCATCACTCATGCGGCATCTGGCTCATGGCTTCAAAAATCAATCACTCTTGTCTTAGCAATGCCCGTCGAAGCTTTCTTGGTGACCTACAATTGGTTCGGGCTACAAGTGATATACCCGCGAATACAGAAGTGACATACTGGTACAAAATGCCCACGGGAGAGAGCGATGAAATACAAAATGGTTTAAAACATTGGGGATTTCAATGCAAGTGTATCATCTGCATTGATTTGGAAAACGCAACCAGAAAAGAAATCACAATGAGAAAGAAGTTGCTCAGAAATTTCAAGATAGTTTTGGACGCGAGCCATGTATCTATCCCCCAAGCCGAAAGTTTGTTGAATGCTCTCGAAAAGACGTACAAGCGTCCGGCAACCGACGTTCCACGACTAGCGTTACGAGAATCATATTTCAGATTAGCTCGAGTTTACTCCCAGCGGGAAATGGCCCAGAAAGCTGTATCGACGACGCTAAGAGCCTTGGAGTGTATTGGCTTCGTGATCAACAATGCAAGCTTACCTGCGCAACCCGGCAAACCTCTTGAGATTGCGAAATGGGGGTTAATGCTGCCTGGAGTAATCGAGGCATGGGTTTATCTCTGCAGTGTTTATTGTGTTTTGGCTCCGCAACATTTGCAGCAAGCTAGAGAGTATGCGAAGTTAGCATACAAGATCTGTATTGGAGAAGATCACACTTTCAAACAGACACACAATGTTTAGGTGGAGAAGTGCAATCTTTGTTGGCTAAAACTTGGCTGGGAGACTATCGTGGAAATAATGGATGCGGTACTGCTCAATGGAAATGAAATTTAATTCAAATTGATTTCTAAAAGTCTGGAATCCTGCGAGCATCTTAGTTTGGTCAATCTTGGGTGTGTTTGCTTCGCGCGCGGTTGAAGTGCCCCTTCACGACCGTTTCATTGTATTGTTGGCCTCGCCATATAACCTAACATCTGAATCTGACCTTATCTAGAATCATCAAA